AACAACTTCAATGCCACATATATATTATTGATACCTTTAATAATATATTTTATAATAGCTATATAATCTAAACTATTATATGTAATTAAAAAAAAAATTATACTGTATGACATTTTAAATGTTTGATTTATTTAATAAAGAAGACATTTAAAATGTCTTCTTTATTAAATAAATCAAACATTTGAAATGTTTCATTTATTTATTAATAATAATAATAAGTTTTATGAAATAATAATAAAATGTAATAAATTAAATTTAATAAAGATTATTAAATAAAACAAACATTTGAAATGCCAATACAGCAATAAATAAAAAAATAACTTTAAGATCTTACACAAAAATAATTTGATTATTGCCTTTATTATTACATTAATAATTTAGATTGTAGCAAAAAACGTTTTAAGCATATTATTTAAATGTTAACAAATATTTCAATTAAGAAAACAAAACATCAAGTCACGAAAATCTCTTGAAGTTTACTTCTTATAAGAAACCTTTTAAGATTCTTAAAAGACTAATAAATATAGCTTCTTTTTTTTATTTTTATAATTTAAATAAATGGAAAGATATAAAATAGTATCAAAACCTTTTTTTATTCTGTCAAACGATACCATTTTAAAAAAATGTTTCGAAACAATTTAAAAGTATATACTAATCCGAAAGTACATTGGCGGAATATTGGCTACGGTATAAATGTAAAAACGGCAAAACATTAAGCCTAAACTACATTGGCCAAATATTGGCCCAACGTAGTACGATAATTGCAAAAAACCGATTTGTAAATTTGCAATTTTACGTCGAAAAAATAACATATATAAAATAAAATATATACAAATATAAACTATATATATATACCTATAAACTACATTTTTATTTTCCTGTTGTCTACTTTTAAAAAATAATTTAGATTTACGTTTTCCGTTATTTTAAATTTAATATTAAGCTATGAATTTGCATCAATTTATTTGCAGTAAACTAATGTAAAAAAGCCTTGTCTGATGTAAAGCTCTGTTATTCTTATTTTACTGAGTCTTGTATCTTATCTCATATGTTAGGTTCTACAGACATTTGGTTGGTCTTCAATGATATCATTAACTAAAGTAGGGCTAACATTTAATCTCTAATTCATGGATCTGATTTACTTCTTAAAAATTTAGCAAAAATTGTAGAAAGTTTTTGATAACACTTTTTAGGACTATGATGATAATATTGTGTTAAGTACGGCCGTGGCGTAGTAATTAGAACGCTTGCTTTATAAGCAGGAGATCTAGGTTCGAAACAAGCTTTAGACATATCTTACGTCACAATAAGTAAGGAGACGTGAACTTCCTGGTTAAATGCTCTTCCGCGGTGCTCTGTGACAAGATCGTTACGTCTTTTTGAGGCACCTAAATAATAATAATAAAAAAATAATAGTAATAAGTTTTCTTTGTAAACCTTGCTCAAAATAAATCAGGGTTCTTTGCAAAAATATCTTGCTTAAAAAAAGATTTCCATCATAGTTCTAAAATGTCTTTCAGAACTTACTTCATTTTTTGGTAAGTTTTTTAAAAGTGCTAAATATGTGGTTCCAATTTTTCAAAACTTTAAAAAACATTTCAAACTTTCCAACTATCCTATAATTAGTCATCATTCTGTTATTAGTTTCTTTATATAAAGGTTTTGAGGTTAAAATTGTTTCTTTTTAACTGCAATATTGAAGTTATACTTGAAAGCCTACACTCCTAATTATTTCAAGAAACTTTAAAGGTACCTCAAGGTTCTATTTGTGATTCTGTATTGTTTTTTATATAAAACCTCCATGAAAACTTTACATCTTTTATAACAACCTTTGACTTGCAATAGCTTATGGATTAAAGTTCTGGACTTAAAATCCACAATTTTTTTTTAGACAACAAAACTCATGTATTTACTGTAAAAAAAAAATGAAATATTGCTGGCATTCCTATATTAATAAATTTCAATCCTCTTACTCTCAGACAAAGTGTAAAAGCACTTTGTTAATTAGTGAGACCTGTTTTATCTGCCCAGCTTGAGCCAGTCTGTCATTTTTGATTTTGCATTGCATTTTTTTTCTACAAATACCATCCTGGGTAATGCTCAAACAAGCTATTATCTCTGTTACGATAAGCCTAAATTCCATTTTGCTTGTTTCTTATTCAACAAATAGTCTTTTACTCTATTTGTCTCTTCATGCTATTAAAACTTTTATTACTTGAGATTTTTTTCTTGCACATCAAAAAACTTTATAACCATAAGCCACCTTTATGTTTCTCTTTTATATTTAACCTGCAATCTTTTAAGTCTTTATTCAACCAGTTCCTAGTATCTTTACTTATTCTCTATTTTAAAGTAAATCATAATGAGTTAGATAATATATAAATATATTACTGTATTTAGTAAATAGTAAATTAAAGCATAAAATTATAGTATATAAAGTATTACAAATTTTTTTCTAGCCGCGTCTATCAACTCCTGGTAAATCTTATAATTTTACTGGGGCCGGAACCGTCTTCTTTTTAGCCATGGCCGAGGCCCCGTTTACTTACTAATGCAATAGAGCAGCTGTTGGGTAGTCTTCAGAGTTTTGGCTCAGAACCCAGATGTGCGAGGTTCGACACCGGCTCTATCCCAATAAGTGACTTTATTAAGGAAGGAGGCTTGAACTTCTAGTTAAAGCTATCTAGCAGTGCTCTGTGATAAGACCGTTAGTACTTCTAGGAGCATCTAAATAGCACAAAAATAAATGAATAAATAAATAAATAAAATTACCAAATTTATAATTAAAGTACTTCGTTTTAGAATTGAATGTTACCAACCATAAGTTAATGCGTTTTAATAGTTCAGATCCTCAATGTTGATTAAAAAAATAACTTTGATTTGCTGCTAAAGTTGTTTCATGGAATTTATTTTAAACTAGGTTGACATTTTGTTTATTGTTATCTGGATATAATGCCTTTTCTCCTAGTGTTGATGCTTTTCTTATGTTTGCTGAAAGATTTTTATCTTTTTCATGTACTCTAAGAAGCAATCTCAAAAATATATCTTTCCAGCAGATAGATTTAAGGTGGGTGTGAGTATTAAGGCTTAGCGGGTAATAAGGCCCACTTGTCCAAAGTACGGGAAAATAAAAAATGCGAAACTTTTTTTGGTGTTTAAATATTAAAGTTACCTGATTTTGTCAATGGCAGCAAAAAGAAAAAAATCAGCATTTCTTTACCGTGCGTTCGAGAAAAAAAGATTACTTCGTTCGTTTGTCAATAATAATTTCAATTTTCTAATGAAAATAATAATGATAATGACACTGAAACAGACTGTTTTGGAATATTGAATTTTAAAATCAAATACTACCCAGTTTGCCGATCTGCACAATATCTTATTTATTAAATGTATGTCTGCATAAATAATAAAAATGTATGTCTGATTCATGAAAATTAAAAATAATAAAAATGTAATTTCAATTTTAAATATTTACATCCGAAGCCTAAATAAAAACTTTAAAATTTAAAAATTTTGTTGGATGAAATAAAACATGATTTTAGCATTATTTGTCTAAAAAATATGTGGTGTAAATGTGATGAACACAGTTTGATTTAATTAATTAAACGTCAATTCATCAACCACGTGATAGTTATGGTAGCGGAAGCGTTAGTATTTTTCTCCACAATTCAATTATTTTTCTCTCTCGTAATGACCTATGCGTTAATAAAACAGATTGTGAGTTATTGTACATTGAACTTTATAGTAGAATCACAAAAAAAATAATCGTTAATGCTATTTTTAGAAAAATATCTCGTAACTTAAAAAAGTTTAAAACTCACTTAAACTCATTCTTAATTAAAATTTAAAAGTTAAAAAGAACAAAAGCATATTTACGTTGTCGGCGATGTCAATTTCGATTTTTTTAAAACAAACTTCAAACAAAATTAGGCATTTTATCGATTAACTTTTTCAACATAATGCTACTCCAACAACAAATAAGCCAACCAGAATAACTTAGAATTCTTTAACTTAACTTGATAATATAATTACTAACAATATTTTCACAAGTATAATCAAAACAAGCTTATCAGATCATTTTCCTACTTTTTTAATATCTAACAATATAGCAATTAATATTATTTCTTCTAAATTTAAAATATACAGCCGGCAGATCAATAAATTCTCCTTACAAAAATTTCAACATCATTTCAAATATAACGTTGATTGGAACCTTATAATGCAATCGGTAGAGGTAGCTAATACCAATGAACTATTTCTTAAACTTTTTAAGAAATGAAGAAGAGTGTAGTAATGACGGTATGGATGAGCCTTCTATTTGAAGGAGGGCTCATCCATACCGCTATTACTACACGACTTATTGAAGGATCTATTGAGTAATTTAGTTTACTTAACGGTTTACGTAATTAAAAAGAACTACTTATTTGGTTACAATCATATAATATAAAATATGAATAAGAGTTAATACAGAATATACATAAGAAATATCAACTAAAAACTTAGAGCATGGAGAAACATGCAGTGCACATTAAGAAATAGTTTAAACCAATAGTTTATTCGCGTGAAGCCGAATAGGCTTAAACTCTCCCGCCACCATCGATGAGTAAAGTAATACTCTTTTCGTTTACGAAGGTGAAAGATACTAATTTTCCTTCGTCAGAGTATTCAGTAAGATATAGTTTATTAATAGGTCAAACAACTAAACACGATTTACTATTTTCTTATATGTAACGAACTTTAGCAACGTAAACAACTTCATTGTTAAAGTATATCAATTTTCAACACGTGCTAACTTCCGTATTTGTCTATTGCAGTTTTCACTTTCAATTAATACAATGTCAATAACACTAATTTATTTACAATCATTACTTCGATTTGATTTATGGTATTCACGCAAATCTGTCAAGTACTCACTTTTGAATCTGCTTCATAATAACTTAAGATTTTAGCCAACGTATTGTTTTATATTTGCACATCGTGTTCTATCTCATCACAGGCAC